ACTGATTTTGAATATTTATTTATATAATTTTAAATGTGTCCTTCTATGCGTACAGTCAAGCCTGGTGCAATGTCATTGCGGGCGCCTCATTTTGTATGGGTCTGAAATACGCTGGCAGCGAGAATCAGGAAGCCTTCAAAACCTTACATAAAGCATTAAAAACTTTCATAGGCTTCCAAAGTAAGCATGTATTCGAATTTGCTGGCTATACAACTGTGGAGTGCTGCCTTATGGTTATTTTGATTTCCATATCCTTGGTATTCGCTGGTTCCGGTGACTTGGAAGTTTTACGCATTATACGCTATTTGCGTTCGCGTATCAGTTTTCGTGATCGTTGCCGTGTCAATTATAATCCAAATGTTACATTCGGCTCACAGATGGCTATACACATGTCGCTGGGTTTGTTGTTTTTGGGCGCTGGTCGTTATACCATTGCGAATACGCCAGAAGCTGTAGCCGCGTTAATATGTGCTTTTTTCCCGAAATTCCCAAACCACAGTAACGATAATAGGTATGTATAAGTTAGGAGCAATCGGTACTAGAAAATCTGAAAACTTGACTTGAGCGACAAATAATGTATCAATTTGAATTTTCAACCAAAAAAAATTTTTATAAACTACATTTATTTTATTTGTATAAACAATATTAATTTTTTTTATAAACAATATTGTTTTTTGATTTTTTGTTTTTATAAATAATATTGATTTTTTGTTTTTATAAACAATGTTGATTTTTTGTTTTTATAAACAATATTAATTTGTTTTTTATAAACAATATTGATTTTTTTCTTTTATAAACAATATTGATTTTGTTATAACAAAATAGGTTTTTTTTTAGACAATATTGATTTTTTTATAAACAATATTGATTTTTTTGTATAAACAATATTGATTTTTTTGTATAAACAATATTGATTTTTTTGTATAAACAATATTGATTTTTATTATAAACAAAATTAATTTTTTTGATTGTGATTGTTTCTATAAACAGTATTGATTCTTGTTTTTTTATAAACAATATTGATTTTTTTTATAAACAATATTGATTTTTTTCTTTTATAAACAATATTGATTTTTTTTATAAACAGTATTGACTTTTTGTTTTTTATAAACAATGTAATTATTTTCTTATATAAACAATATTAGTTTTTAAAAACAAAATTGTTTTTTGAAAACAATATTGATTTTTTTATAAACAATATTGAGTTTTTTTATATACAATATTGATTTTTTTTATAAACAGTATTGACTTTTTGTTTTTTTATAAACAATGTAATTATTTTCTTATATAAACAATATTGATTTTTTATAAACAAAATTGTTTTTTGAAAACAATATTGATTTTTTTATAAACAATATTGAGTTTTTTTTATATACAATATTGATTTTTTTTATAAACAATATTGATTTTTTTTCTTTTATAAACAATATTGATTTTTTTATAAACTAAATTGTTTTTTTTAAAACAATATTGATTTTTTTATAAACAATATTGATGTTGTTTTTATATACAATATTGATTTTTTTTATAAACAATATTGATTTCTTTCGTTTATAAACAGTATTAATTTTTTTATAAGCTATATTAATTTTTTTGTATAAACAATATATAATTTTTTTTTATAAATAATATAAAATTTTTTTTTAAACAATATTGATTTTTTTCTTTTATAAACAATATTGATTTTTTTATAAACAAAATTGTTTTTTTTAAACAATATTGATTTTTTTTTATAAACAATATTGATTTTTTTTTGTATAAATAATATTGATTTTTTTTATAAACAATATAAATTTTTTTTTTAAAAACAATATTGATTTTTTTCTTTTATAAACAATATTGATTTTTTTATATTCGTATTAGTTTACTTCAGAATTTCTTAATTCTCTTTACTACTTTTCAGATATCATTTACAAGCATTTCGTCACTTATATGTGCTCGCCGTCGAGCCACGCCTCTTTCTGCCACGCGATATCGATACGAAAAAGTTGTGTCTCTGTCAGATATCAGTGCTAGAGCTGGGTAGCAAGGAGCTGCGACGCCTACCGATGGCACCTTGTATGCTGCCACCCTTGCATACTTTGCAGAAGGTGATTGTGGACGATGCCAATTATTGGCCGGTTTGCTTTGAGAAGGAGCGTAATTGGGCGCAGTTGCTGTAGGTGTCACAGTCCACTTGTATACCCTTTGCAATTAATTTTAAATTTTAAATATTTGCAGCAAAGCGTTGGAGAACTCTGCCTGTATAGACATTAAAAAACGTTCTGGTTGTCTTTCGCATCTCGAGGATCCCGATCGTCTGAAGAGTCTTTTTGCACAAACTCTCACCACCGAACAATATACATGCTGGCATGTGAACGCTACGGCCTTAGAGCGCTTCTCAAATGATTCATTTGTTACTAGTTTCACCGATCGCTTTCTACACATCGATGCAGAGATAATCACACAAGACGAATTGTTGAAAGTACAGCAGTTAACAATGCTCTTCTATAATGCTGTTATCAAGGATAAAATGCATGTGTTGCCCATTTATTTAACTACATTCAATGTGAGTGAAAATTTTCAAATATTATTTTATTCTAAAATTTTTGGTACATTGAAGCGAAGTGCTGAACAAACTAAAATCGCATATAATACAACAAAAAAAATCGTTAATCTTAGTCGCACCAAAGCTACAATATCTACACAAATGAAAAAAAATGTCCATGCAAGAACTAGATTAGAGATTGATTGAGATTGCCTCGGACAATTATTTATGCCGAATTTCGTGAAGATAGCTTGCCAAATAAAAAAGTGTTCCACACAAGAAATTGATATTGAGCTGTCAGTTTTTATGGCAGCTATATGCTATAGTGGTGCGTTATCAGCGGATCCGACAAATGAGAAGCTTCTTGAAGAGAAAACGACTTGTACAAAATTTCAGATCGATATCTCTACATGCAGACAGGCAGGCATGCTAAATCAACTAGCTCGTTTGATTATTGTTTTTATTTATTTTATAAAAAAATTATTTGAACATATTTTACTAAAAATTTAGAAAAAAATATAAAATTCTAGTACTTCTTTTTTTTCTTTCAGCTCATTCAACGCGTACAACGCAAACCCGAGTGCAATGATGTCTGGCAAATAAAATTAATCGACTTGTATATGGAAAAGTATAGACAGCCACATCTACTCCTGACCAGCGAATTGATGGGTGCGCAACTGGAGAAATTTAAAGTGTTCATCGAAAATACACGTCGTGCAATGGCGCCCTTTTTGCGTAGCTTCATCAGCACCAGTGCTCTTGAGCCAAGTATTATTAGCGAATTGTCAGCGGTGGAGCTGGCACGCCTATATTCCGTGGTGAATTTCTATAATTTAACGCCGAATTTGTTGGTTTTAGTTGATCTTAGAGGTACAGTTAACTACCTAAGGTATTTATACGAGTTCAAAAAGCTCAACTTAGACGTGCAAACTATAAATTGCTTAATTAAAATATTACTGCAAACCAGCAGCAACGAAGCTACTTAAAAGTTCAGTGAATTTGAAAAGTAGCCAATCGTACACAAAAGAAAAAAATATTTTTATCAGTTCGAAGTTGATAACTTTTTTATATTCAAATATAAAAATTTATTGCACATATACTCTGATTTTGCATAAAATCTGTCGCCTTGGGTTATACACCTAAAATTTTGGGCATAAAAAGTCTACTTAAAAGTCTTAACTAGCTTGGTCCCATAACTGATCTCCAGGGGAAACTCCAAGAGACGTGTCGGTGAAAAAATGTTTCTGCTTAAAAATCTAAAACATCAAAAACAAAAAAATATATATAAAAGATGAATACAGATAATGTTCGAAGGACTAGTCAAGACTTTGATTTTTCACAAAATGGCGGCTTTCTACAAAACAAAAAAATTTTTTTTTTTTTTATTTACACTTCAGAGTGACTTAAAAAATCTAAATGATAATCAAAAATATTATTTCTTCGATCATTGCTTGACAAATATATCTGAGAAGGTCGTGTATCAACTGATTCAGTCCTGCCCATTCGAAGAAATTTTCTTCTCCGACCCTGAAAGCAGTGTTTCGAGGAAAACGCGTGTAAAATTCGATATTTAGAAATTCACCCCAGTGCAGTAAATATAACCGATTAAGGGGTTACATGGGTTTCGTCAAGCAAAAGACGCCCTATTTTCAATAGTTTTTTCTTCATATAAAAAATTTATTATTTAATTCAAACTTTTTATTAGACCAAAGATACATATTTGATAAAGATTTTGTGAAATTTTCAAAAGAAAATATACAAAACTCGATCAATACGACATCATTTCCGGTGGTCCCTCGGAATAAAGGTGCTTCCGCGTTGACAGCAGAATTTCTGATAGGATCATCAAAAGTAAAAAATACGTGTTTGAACTTGAACGTTTGAACCATTAACTAGAAATTAACTAGGAGAAATCACCAAAGTGACAATTGTATATTTGGCAGACGTTTGTAAAAAAACATGCAAATTTTGGTGAAAATTTCTCGACGTTTTTTGATTTTTAAATCGTTGTAACTGTAAATTATATCTGAAATATCTGTGTACAATTTTCATTAACGTCGTGAAAAATCTTGACAACCGACTTTGAAAACACAGTTTCGAGAAAAACGCGTTTAAAGTTTTAAGTGATTATATAGCTGACCGCAATTTTGAAAACCGCATCTCCTACCACTATTACTGTCTTCAACTTTAAAATTTAGGACTATATTCTAGAGATGTTATATTGTAGAATTAAATAGAACAAAACACTTTTTTTTTTTGAAGCCGTGAAACCCATGTAACCTCTTAAGTGAACATAACCTTACCCTCTCTATAGATATTCTAAAAAATAAGTTGTTGCCTACATTTAAGCTGCTGTTGAATGAGTGTAAAGTTATAGAAAAACATCTAAACTTATATAAAAAGCGCTGAATGTTTTCTAATAAAATAATCTGTGTACAAAATACAAAATGCCGTAATAACAAATTAAAATAAATTTTTTTAAAGACAAATTGATATTTTTACATTTATTTTTCGCAACATGGTACCAAAACAAGTAGTAAATATTTTTGGTTATTGCAATTTGATAAAAATATTGCACACTTTCAGCTAAAGACAACAACATAAAAATAAAAATAAAAAAGACAGGTAAAACAAAAATTTTTGGAAGTACTTCAAGTCTCGCGAAGAATGCTGCCTTCGATTGAGTAACTAAATAGGAACGACTAATATCTATGTGTTGGTGTAATGGCTTGTTGTGACTCTGGCAGGCCATCTTTAATGCCACGCTCAGCACAACGCTTGTAAATATATAAGCCGAGCAGTGGAATTGGCGTTAATATAGCCACGGAGACGGGTATGACTGTGGTGAGATCGGCTTCTGGTTGCGGGAGACTGAAACGCAGTAAGAATATCGCTATGCCGGTGTTTTGGATGCCCGTCTCGATGGCGATAGTTAACGAATCAACGGAATTTCGACGAAGAGCCTTCGCCGCGCACCAAGCCAATATGTAGCCCGCCCAAGGCAACGCCAAACCGGCCACAATGATCTGCAAAATTTCAGAAGCAATTGTAAATAAAGCTAATCGTTTCAAAATTGCCACTTACCTGCCAGGAGAACAACTCAAACAAGTAGAGATTTGTGATGATCGCAAAGATGATAATAAACAGGATGAGACAAGTGGAAATCGGTTTGAGTAGACGCACCAGTACGCGTGTCAGCCGTGGCGACCAACGTTGTATGGCCAAACCGATGGCGAGCGGCACAACCAGCGATACCGCAAAAGTGGCAATGTTTTCATAAGGCACAGTTATATTTGCACGATTGAAAATCAGCTGACCGAGCGTAAAGATCCACAGTGGCATCATGCCGAAAGCGGCGAAATTGCTGATCGTTGTCATCAGCACGGAGAGATTAATATTACCACCCAATATCACAGCCCAGATATTCGATGCGCCACCACTCGGCGAGACGCCCGTAAAGAAAAGACCCAACTGTAATTCTGGTGAATCCGGAAAGATGAGCACACCCAAACCATAGCCCAGCAGTGGCATAATAATGAATTGCGTGAGAAAGCCAATAATGGGCGCCAATGGCCGCGCTAATAAACCGCGCAGCACTGTTACGTCCAAAGCGGCGCCAAAATTGATATACAACAATGATACAAGCAGCGCTACAGAGCCGGTGAATATGTAATCGATAACACGCGTGCGTCGTATAATCGTTAAACCGAGTGTGTTCTCGGCGCGTTCGCTGCTATTGACGCGGCGCACGTAAACTTTGGTGGAGCCGAGGAAGAGCGCATCGATAGTGACGTTGCCGCGCCAAGTGTGTGTAATGGGACTTATAACATCAGCGGGTATTAGATGCTCCACACTGGCAAGATGTGGATTTTCACTTAAGACCTCAAATGAGGCCTCCGTTGGTAGATCTGTAAATGTAAGTAGTAAATGGTTAATGAATGGTGTTGTCAATTCTTCGGTCTTTAGTGAGAGACAAAATAACGGCCCCTAAAAGCTTTTTATAATTTTTATGAATTATTCTACCTAATTTTATCGACTAAATTGAATCATATTATTATTTATATAGATATTTATTTCTAAGTTTGTGGGCATGTCTGTTTATATGTCTGCTTCTAAAACCTTTTGTGGTTAAATGTCTGCACCAAGGGGTTATATCTACTTGCAAGTCAGAATAACGCCTTTTTGAGAATTTTTTTTCAAGAGGCATTTTATTTTATCAATAAATAAAATTAAAATACATTTACAGAATTTAATCTAATTTAATAATCGGCAGTTCCTTGTGAAAATTGTTTGATTGCCTTGAGCCCGTAGTGTCTCTCCAAGAGGAACTAGAAAAAAAGGTGTCTGACGTTGAGAAAGATTTTTCTACTTAAAATTATCACAAACCAAAAATCAAACAATTTATTAACACAATATAAGTAACGATGGAAGAATTAGTCAAAATCTTGACTAATGGCTTCCCACAAAAAAATCGTTTTTGGTGAAAAAATTTGAACTTGATTGATTGCCGAAATTGATCGAAATTTTTATGAAAACTCTTATTTATTCGCACATTACCTGACAAATATGTATACAGCGTCTACTAATAGGTGATGGGATGTATGACTTGATTTTGACAGCTCGTGGCGGACATGTTTGTTTACGGTTTTATGTCAAATTTTGTCAATGGTGTCAGTAAGGCTTGTCATTTTATCATGTCGCGTTTCACTTTGGTACAACGCTTGGAAATTGTCAAAGATTGTTGCGCAAATTTAAGCTTTCCGGTGGCTACTATCATCTGAGATAAGGCCCATTTGTGGCTTAATGGCTTCGTCAACAAACAAAATTGTCGCTATTGTTGTTTCAGAAAACGCAATTGCATACCCAAAAATTGACCGTTTGGGCCTTTTTTCTTTAATAAATCTATGTTGACCGACTTTTTCCCCGGTATTTGATGAAATCGACGCGGACGATCTCTATTTTCAACAAAACAGTTCGCCGCCTCATGCTTCACGTCTAAACATGTACACATGGCGTGCAAAGTTTGGCTACTCGTTAATTTCGAAAAATGGCCCAGTTAAATGGCCGCCAAGATCATGTGACTTAACATTTCTAGATTATTTTCTTTGGTAATATGTTAAATCAAAGATTTACGCCCATCAACCAGCAACGCCCGAGGAGCTCAAAAACAACATTCAGCGTACTATAGCCGAAATGCTGCACCATCATCATCGAAAATTGGCGTAAACGAGTCGAGATATGCAAACGGAGCCGTGGTGGCCATTTGGTCGACATTTATTTGAATCATAAATGGTATAAAATTATCTGCATACCAAAAAAAACAGAACCAATTTAGAGTGGTTTATTTCATTTTAACATCACGTCGTTCTTGCTGGTAGACTCTTTATCTAAGAACATCGTTTGAGTTCAAGTTGATCGATCCAACAGTTTCGGAAAAATTTTTCTCACCGACTCTGATAATAGGGAATCATTCATATCTCAGAAAACTTTTGTCGGATCACTTTTAAATTTTCGGAGAATATTTTCAAATATATTTACATTTAATATAATATATGAGCAAAAAATAATAAATTTTTTGAAATTTACAAGTAGATATAACCACTTCAATTAGATATTCGGTATGCAGACCTATTCGAACTTCAGTTTTGTCGAAATTAATAATTGGTTAAAGAATCCTATATAAACCGGATATGATGCTGATTTTTGCTACACTTGCCTTCGCTACACTTGACTATCGAAAGAGTTTGATACAAATTAGACGTAATCAAAAGATAACTTCTAGTATCTCAAACTCTAAGCTTAGGGCTATCTAAACCTGCGCAACTGATGTTATTTATTTTTTGCTGCTTTTTCAAATATTTACATGGGTATTTATAAAAACAAAAACTGTAATTATTGTTATCTACTGTTTTTTTTTTACAATTCACACTTTCGATTATAAACAATTATACAATTATGTAATTTTTTTTTAACGGCTCGGCTTAAACTATCACATACCCGCGGTAATTCACTCATTCTGTGCCATACATCATATAAATATACGTATAAAATTGTACAATTTTAAACACACTCGTACCTGTCAGTTCCAACAACACTTCGGCACTCGTTCCCATATGCAATTGTAGTTGTTGGGGAGTAAATGTGGCATGCCAGCTGGGGGCTGCTGCCGACAAGTCGCGCTTGCTCTCCGCGCCCAATTTGTAAGGTGTAACTTGTTGCACTGCTGTGTTGGCTGTTGTTGTTGTAGCGAATGTGAAAATTGCAGCGAGCAAAATGCCACAAAAAAATATTGCATGGAAATACATCTTTTGCGCAATTTGATAATTTAACAGGTGATTTGAAGAGCTTGAAATTAAATACATACATACATATGTATATATAAGCACCGGTGTGCGAACAAAAAAAACAACACAAAAAATCGAAACGATCACTAATTCGTTAATTGTTACACTAAAAAGTTTTTAAAGACTTCAGTTGGAGGTGTGTGGGGATGTGTAGAATCACATATACATATGTATATATACCTGTATGTACGCACTGCTTATCACACAACGCAAGTGTTGAGTGGATAACTTGTAGATATACTTATTTTTTTTTATATTTCTTCACATTTCTCAACACTTCTACACCAACTACACAACAATTTCATATTATATACTAGAAAGTAAAAATAATAAATCGTATATAAGTAAAGTGGAGAAATTAAATCACAACACAAAATGCCGAAAAATACGAAACACAACGAAAATGTGTGCAAACACCGACGAAGCCAAGCTAAAGTCGCGACACCAGTAATTTAGTGAAAACAAACATTGAGCGCTTGTACCGCTTCACTGAGCCCGGATTGCGTGTGAGCGCTCGGCGCAAAAAACAAACAAAAAAAACAGTACAAAAGTCACGAAAACAAACTCAACAAAGTCTACTCGTGTCCGACTGCTCCAAGCGTGTTTCATGCTCTTTTACTCATATCTCCGTCGACCAGCAAGTAGCAGCAGTAAAACGCGAATGAAGGTCTTTGCTATGAATTATGTCGCCACTAAGTAAGTACAGCAGAATTTACCTATATATTATATTATATTATAAAACATTTCTTCGTCACTAATATTTCATGACCACTTAGAACTATTAGTTGCTTTAGTTTAAAAGTAGCGACATCTTCGTCGCGCAACTGCGATAAAACAGAATATATTTTTTCCCGTTCGTTGTTGTTGTATGTTTGCTCAGATAAGATTTTTATCTTCTTGGTCTATTTAAGATCGACAAATAGTATATGAAATGAAGTATATGGCACAAAAATAGAACAATGAATGATTAGGTGAAATTAAGCGCAATTATTCAGGCACACTTCTTCACTTGCCTTTGAACACCAGAGGTTAGGTGCGGACTATGTATTGCTAAAATTACAATAAATGTTTTATTATTGTAAATTATTGAATGAGTGTTTTTAAAATTATTTTAAAACGATCAATATTTTAGGCAGATGCTTTTTGTCGTAAAAAAACCAAGGGAAACAAGAAAAAGCGTTAATTAACTTCAGCTGCACCGAAACTGTAATACCTTTCACAGGTACATTTATTATAGCATAAAAATGTAGAAAAAATATCTTTATATTGACTTTCATCTGTCAGTTTGAATGGCAGCTACATGCTATAGTGGTCGGATCTAAACAATGAGTTCAGAGATTGTTGGACCTTGGACAATAATTTATGAAAAATTTCGTAAAGAAATCTTGTCAAGTAAGTTTTCCATACAAGGTCTCGATTTTAATCGGTCAAGTTTTATGGCAGATTCATTTATACTACAGTGGTAGATGTCTTTTCAAAGAAACCAAACATTTGAAGTAATCAAAACATACAAATAATCAATATTTAGTTTTTTCGTAAAGCAATATATTCGAGTGACTACCTTTTTGGTTAGGGGAGAGTTTAAAACTGGAATTTTAAGAACTCGATTACAACTTGATTACTTGCTATTATTGTAAGGAACTTTTTAACATAAAAATTAATGATTAGTACAATTATTGTAATTGTAATCTGAAAAATGTAACGATTACAATGGCTGTAATATTTATAAAATCTGGAACTTTAAGATCACGATTACATCTTGATTACTTGCGATTACAATTGTTGTAATTGTTATTCAGAAAATTTTTTAACATTATAATTGTCACTGCCGAACAATTTTAATAATTGCGCTTACTGTAATTATAATTTAAAAATGTAATGATTACAATGTCGATAGTCCAGTAATCGTTATTTCCTTTTTTTTAATTATGATCTTTATTTTAATACTTTACTATAATATTAATTTGAAAAGTTTAACGGCTACAATGGCGGTAATCATCAAAGCACGATTACATCTTGATTGTTTGCGTTTACGTTTATTGTAATTGTAATTCAGCAATTTTTTTTGCAAATGCGACTGCTGAGAACTTTCTTGATTACAATTATTGTAATCGTAATTTGAAAATGTAATGATTACAATTATTGTAA